CCACGACCTTCGACTCAATATGCAGCTGCTCTGACCACTTGAGCTATCGTGACATACAATAAGTTAACTTTCTCATCTCAATCAAAACCTTACATAAAAAGAATAATTAATTGAAATTTTTAGTAGGGTTGTTTAAACAAATCTATTCATTGTAATTTGTTATTTAATAAGAGATCGGCAAGGGAAACCTATTAGGTTATAATAAAACATTTTCAAAAGTAAAAAAAAATTAATTGTCCTTATTTTCCTCAAGCCTCATCTACCTGGAAACACTTGAGGAGAGTTAGACTGCGTTCCTGTTTCCTCTCTTTTTATGTACACACTAGTGTTTTGTTTTTCGCAGTGCTGCAGTATAAGAGTGGTGGATGGCCATTAACATAAATCAATTAGACTACTAACATAAATGGGTCATTATGTACTTAACTGCTTAATAACCATGATCGCACCATGATCGTATAGAGGTGTTTGATATTTCCATGTATGTCCTTGGGCATGACCAGATGGTTGCGTTGATCTGTGATTTTGGCGTATGGTTATTTATCAAAGTAAGATTATTATTATTTATCAAGATGTAAGCTAGGGCTTAAAATCCTTCAGCTCTTGACGAGTTAGGAACCATCGAAATTAGACGGACTTAATAAACTGATCAGTGCCGATCAGTTCAACACGTTGCAGACCAACAAACACTAACAAGTAGACGCGGTTCGGCATATCGCCATCTTCATCTTGAACTCTTTTATTCTTTTTTATAAGGTCATGGGCGTGTGTAGGCGCTTTTTGTGTTAAAGTTTGTTGTTGTTTGTGATATCCGATTGATAGGTCGATAGTTAAAAGAATAAAAAAAATCAACAATAGACTCAGCCACTCCATCATTAGGTTGTTTGCCATACATTGGTGAATTATCGGAAAAAGTTAGTAAAATTTTTAAACAAGAAGGTTTTAGAATAGCTTATAGAAGTACGGGATCGCTAAAAAACAAACATCCTCTCAAANTTTTTAAATCTTTTATCTTTAATCACTAATTAATTTCTTACAGTATTTACTATTAAAATATTTATTTGTGCTCTAATTCCCACTTTTCGCACGTTCAAATTGAGCGCCATGAAACAACACCTCCTCATTGGAACGTAACATTGGCGTATCAGCGGGTTCACTTCTGAAATTCATGTCGAGAGACGTGTTTGCGGAAACCCTTCAACCTGACGATGAGCTAAAGGGCTCGAAATCCGGATCGTTGCAAAACAACTTATTGTGAGTAGGATCTATCTTTTTTAAAAAGTATTGAACACCGCACTCACTCCATCATTTATAATTTCTACTTTATGTGTTTTCTGTTCCTTTTGTAGATTACGTTTTTATTTATGTTCGGGCCTCCTGTTTTACTTTTCAATTGATATGATATTTTCAATGTGTAATCCTTTTTTTAAAAAGATGGTTCCTACTCACATTAAGTGTGTTTCTTAATGTGTGTAGGAACCATCTTTTTAAAAAAAGGATTGAACTCCACACTCATTCCATCATTCATAATTTCTATTTTGAATGTGTATGTGAACTTTTGTTCAAATGAGTGTTTATCAATTTTTATCGTTAAATGTATTTGTATTTTTCAATTTTCCACGATATTTTTTCCCTTTTTTGTACGTCGTATATGCCGTTTTTTCATATTTCTGCCGTGAAATATATGTCGCGTTGTTGTTGATAGTTGTGAAGATGAGACAAACTGAAGATGGCGGCTGGCCGCTTAACAAGCGAGGAGAAGCAATTTAATCCGTATAGTTCATAACCCGTAGTTCTCCGGGAAAATCCTATTTTGTTGTCATCTGAATTATATGAACTTTTATAAATAATTTAAAAACAAACCATTTTGGAAATAGCGTAACACCAGTATTCAAAATTTACAAGCAGTTTAACTATCAAGTTATTAGTTCTCCTACGGAGACTACTGCTGATAGTTAACCAATATGTCCAATGTTTTGGAAATTTTTAAAAACAGTAAAATTTTGCAAAGCATTATCACCGAAACAAAAAGCAAACCATTTTATTTTTATGCGGTTAGTAGATTTATATCTTGGTCGTTTTCGTTAATTTTGGTTTGCCCATTGTTGTTTTAGTATTTCAGAGTTTCGCCTTTTCGTCATCTTCAGCAGTGAAAAATTACCTACATTGACATAGAGAGGAACTTTGACTACTAACTGATTGCTAAGAACTGGGACCAGTGTAAAGGCACTAAAACACAAAGAACACACAACACAAGGGGGGGGGGATCGGTGGCCGCAACGGTTTAGGCGTTGACACGGCGATCATCACTGTAGGGTAAAGATCCCGGGTTCAAATCCAGCGGCCCTGCATTCGGACCCGACATACTTACAAATGGGCTTTTTTCCCAAAACACCGGCACCCTGCGGGTTTATATGACCTCTGCTGTTGCGAACCTTCGTAAAAAAAAATAACAAAAAACACACAACACAAAGACAAACATACAACTCGAGGATAAACTATTTATCGCATGCCGAGATACCCTAGGCCATAATTGCGCTCCACAATATTTCTTAATTTCTTCCCAAAACATGCCCCGTCCTTATTGCTTTTCTCTCAATTGATCTAATTTAATGACCAGCACAATATGAGGGAAACACTCTCAACATGACACACAACCCGGGACACATCTACACAGAAAACCCACATTTTGAGCGCTGAAGATGATCACGATCAATAAAGATCGAAACGTTGGCACGTTAAAGAAAATTTTTTCTAAACCTACATCACTCCAGACCGCACCTCACGTCTCTAAATAATCTATCTATTTATTTCGCTTCAACATTTTCTCTCAGCATTGATTCGCCTAATCAGAACTTTTTTTAAAATTAGATGACTTTTTTCGTTTACAGTGTGTCCGACCATAACGCTACGAGGATTGCTTTTTCGCCAACATCTAGCTTTTGCAATTATAGACTACATAATTCTTGTTTATACAGATAGGGTAAACTTGTTAAAAGAATACAATATAATAATTATAAACAAAAACAAAAACAGAATGGTATATTGGGGGTTCGTGGTTTTTTTTCCTCGTTCCTTTCAACTATTTTCCCAATGTCGGACCGAGAGGGATACGAGGTTGTCTTGTGCTCGGATTTCATTTAACACAGTTGTTATCTGGCCACTCGGCTTGATAAAGCGGCCCTATGAAAAAAACCCGCATCCATTCCCAAGCCGGAAAACGAGCTAAAAGGGAGTAGATGCTGCTGTCAAGATGTCCGCCGTCGAGGGCTTTACGTGGCCTATTCGATTAAAACGTTTTCAACGCCGCAAATCACGGCTGGCAGAAAAAAAAACAACAACGATTCAGCGATCAATTTAAAACAAGAATAAGCCTTTATAAAAACACTGATATCAGATGATATCAGATATTGAAATAAGGGATATCTGTCGAAAACCGTTGGTGAAATACATTCCCTTTAGTTTTATATTTTTCTACTTTCAACTTTCAGCTAGAATGAAAAACTAATTTTTTAACAGTTTTTTTAGGCAATCAGGTTGAAGAAACGGACAATCCACTTATGGGATTAATTTTTCAATGGCATGCTTTATTGCGTCTGTTGGGCATATTTTCATACAAAAGAAATATTGCCAGCAGCGATCTTAACCACTCTTTTATTTTTTAAATGTAATCTCGCTACATACTAGAATAATGCTTAAGAACAAAGAGAAGTTTTTACTTATTTAAATGTCACTAAACACGAAAACCTGAAAAGAATGGCGAATTAAGTAATTTATATTATACTTTCACGTAACGTTAAAAATCTTAGGAAATAAAGTATGTAATACATAAACAGATACAATCTTTACAGGTCTTTTAGTGTTGATAGAGATATCATACAAAGTAAAATTGCTTGGAACCATGAACTAAAAAGAGGGTCGGTAAAGGGTAAAAAGGGTAAAATTGATATGAACACCCCGAACCTCCAACATGCAAAAAGTTGTAGATGTATGTTTAATAAAATTAACTTAGCCTTAGGTGCGTACAAAAAAAAANTTATGTGGAAAATACACCATCAAGCGGTCTTGATTGTAATAAAATAGACATGTAGAATAATTATGTAACTATGGTTTTCCTTTATGATAACACTTTTTGAAGGTTGGCCTTGAGCACGACTCTCATCTCAAAATTTTTATCCGGAGTCTGTTGGATTTTGGTAAGTTGGTCATTGTAGACAGAGTTGGGCAAAATCTAACTAATTCAATCATGATTAAGAATTTTCATTGAAGTTTAATCATGATTGAATTAGTCATAAGTAAATTAATCATTATATGATGTATGACTAAATCATACAATGATTAATTTACTCATGACTAATTTAATCATGTATAATTTCAATCAAAATTCTTAATCATGATTGAATTAGTTAGATTTTGCCCAACTCTGTTCCAGTTGACGTAGATGGATTGTTTATTTAATTGGAAAATAAGCTTACTCTTATAAAGGAAAAAAAAGTCATTTGGAGTTGAAGATTTATTAATTTAATTTTTGCTGGCCCAAGGGGAGATGGGAAATATTGCTAAGTTGGGACGGGGTGTTTTCCCATATTTAATTTTGTAAGTATAAATTATTTATTGCATATGAATGAAATAAGGAGAAGGGTCGGTGGCGTATAATCGCAAAAGGCTTTTATTACTTCATAGTCGGTATCATTCGTTAAAAATCGATAATTAATTGAAATAATTTTATGAGCTCTTTTTTATATTAATTTTCTTTTCAAATTAACAGGAATTTTACATTAAAGGCATTTTTACTTAAAAAGGGAAAAATGGTCCATTTGAAGTTGAAAAAGTTTAACTTGACGGCCAAAAGGCTAGAACAATTAATTAATAGTTAGTTATAATCAGCTACTTATTGATTGATAAAATAATCGCTTTTCACTTTCTAACTTAGGATTTTACAACATAAATTACATTAAACTTAAACCTTAATCACAAAACTAACTTTCTTTACTTTGTTTTAGGGAGGAAGGAGTAATCGGTCCTGAACCAAATATTGTAGTCAGAACACATGGGAAAATACATCAGTATCTTCAATTGAACAAAGGGTTCAAAAACTAGAATATAGTTATCAGGTCAGATAGCCAAGCAGCCATCAAAACACTAAGTTCAAGCAAGATGTTGCTGTAACTAAATAAGGCATACAAAACAGTCATCCTCTGTTCAGTCCCAGGACTGGTCGGAGTAGAGGGCAACGTGAACGCGAACGCCCCAAGAAAAGGGGCTGCTATAATGCTGAAAGGTCCTGAGCCCTTCTGTGGCATAGGGATTCACATTATCAAAAAGCATATTACATTAGACAAAGACAAATTGTGGAATTTATTCTACTATATTGCACGTATACATAAATGGACATAAATCCAAGAATCGTCTAGCAGATGTTGGAAGGAAAGAAACAACAGATTGCATCAAAGGAGGCAAGAAAGACTTCGAATTACGATAGGATTCTTGACAGGATCCTACAGACCGATTGGGCGTCGAAGAAGATTGGTATAATCCAACATGTCATTTCTTCAAAGAAGCAAAGGATACACCAACATACCTACTTTCAAACTATGACGCCACATTTGCCAGCAAGAAGAAGTGTTTTGGGATGTACATAGTGTCCGTAGAAGAAATTTAACGACTCAAATTCGGCCTATTAATCAAGTTACTTGATGAGCTAAGACCCACCGTTGCGCTATATAGCTTTTTTCAGTTAAATTGGTACTTTTTTCTACCAATTTAATACTTTTTCCAACTAAATTAGTGCTTTTCCCAAGGGATTTAATACTTTTCCCAACCAACTTAGTACCCTTCCCAACCAAATTAATACTTTTCCCAAGCAAATTAATACTTTTCCCGGGCAATTTAATACTTTTCAAAGGAGGTGGAGTAAAGGGGGGATATCAAACATAATCATACTGTCAAGAAACGAAATTTATTATTGAAAATAAGAAAATTACAAAATGAACATTATAACAGCAAATGTAGATTAAATCCTGATTCATCTATAAAAATTAATTTTGCTCGATTTTGGGGGACCCATATTTCAAAATCCATTGCAAGTGCCTTCGTTGTTGTACCATTGACTCAGAATTCATGCGATCTATTTCAATGGACGCACGCTTCAAAGTTATTTTTAATGACGTTAGCCCTCGGTGTATTGAAGAAATAGACAAATTTATGTTGCGTAATGCAAGCTGTTCTTTAATATCTTGTAATGATAGGCCCGCGTTTCCTTCAATGATTTCCTCAATAGCGGCTAGAATGACATAAGTGGTCAACTTGTGCAGCCGGGGTCCACCTCTTTTTTTAATTACTAACGTACAGTTTTGAGACGTATAATTTCTGTATATACTGCAGCCAGTTCGAGTTTTTATATTTAATTTTTGGGCTGCATTTTGACTGAATGACCCTCTTCAACTAATTTTATAAAAATTTCTTTTTGATGCCTTGATGTAACTGCGTACGTACCCCTGCTCGGTCTTGAACGTTGGACACCGGACGAAGATGAACCGCCTGCAGCACTAGGCGATGTTTCATCATTATGACCACTTATGTCACTCCAGTCACTTCCGTCACTCATTCTATATATAAAAACTCACGCAATGCATACAATAAGACGAGACAAACAACTGAATATTTTAGGGGTAAAGAAACCAAGAATAGGGGAAGGAGAATTTCCTAGAAATCCGTCTGGGAACGATAAGGTAGGCTGGCGAACTCAATGAAATCAGTGAGACAAGTTCAAACGAAACCAGCTAATAAAGTGTTTCATACGGCAACACGCTATGCTCCACATTTTTTCAAATACCTTTTAAATAAGTATTAATTTGCTTGGGAAAAGTATTAACTTGCTTGAGAAAGGTACTAATTTGGTTGGGAAAAATATGAAATTGCTTGAGAAAAGTATTAAATCGCTTGGGAAAAGTATTAACTTGCTTGAGAAAGGTACTAATTTGGTTGGGAAAAATATTAAATTGGTAGAAAAAAGTACCAATTTGACTGAAAAAAGCTATAAATACGGAAATTCTCATAGGGCCCACTATACGCCCCGAACATTACATCTACATCTAATTTTTTTTGCTTTGCCAGAGGCATTTATCAATTGTCCAAGTGAAGGGCAAATAAAAAAAAATACAAAGTTTTAAAAAGTTATAAACAATCATAAATATTATAAATAATGTAAGACCTAAGACCCTCCACATTGCAATGATACAATTTAAACATGTCACAATCCAAAAAGCAACAATTGACAACGATAGCAAATAACAAATTATACTAATGAACAGTTATGTATTAACGCATTAACGAATAATTATAATATATATAGCACACTCGCTTATGGAAATGTCCGCAGCCCAGGGATAAAATTCCCGATTTGCTGGAGAGCCATCCTCGGATGCGGCACCCCAGAGATCAGATACAAGTAAGGCAGCTCAGCCTTCAGTCAGTAATACCACTGCCTGCAAAAGGAATAGATGGCCCTATACCGATCCTCCACGTTCGATTCCAGCAAGCTCTCTCAGTTGAAGACCATGACGAGAAAGACTGTTCTATTTTCCTCGTTTTCCGGACAATCAAGGATTAAACTTTTGTGCTTTCAGGGTCATCGTAGGTTTCCCAGTTTCGAGATGCCCTACAGTTTATTTTGTGGAGGTACTCTCCGCAGATACAGTGGTTCATGCGAATCCAAGTCATTGATGTATAGAATGTTTTGTAGTTAAACCATGGGATCGGACGCAGGTCTGGGAAAAGGGATTTGTAGGCTCTTCCCGCAGTTCCTCTGTAATACCAGTTACGCCATTCTATTAACCACTGTTTGTTTATTGTGTGTTTCGCGTCGATTTTAGGTAATTTTATTTTGTGGAACTCTCCGATCTTGGTTGCTTATTTTGCTATCCGGTCGACAATTTCATTCATGATTCCACTATGTCCTCGGCTCCAGCAAAAAACCTCTTTTTTTTTTGGAGAGACTCCATGTTATGAACCATGTTTACAATTTGTGTAACTAAATAGTCGCACTTCGCGTTTGGATGGAATTTTTCTATTTCCCTGATTGAGCTCATGCTGCCCAAAATAATGCAGAATCTTACTTTCTTTTTTCAGTCGTAAAGAAACTGATAATTATTCAGCCTTCCGTGGAGGCTTCTATCAAATTAAACAGCTGGTAGTTTTTACATATAATTGTCGATTGCTCGGTAAGGTCTTTTAGTCTTAGAAATACAAACAAAATAAAGGGTAAATAATATAAAAAAGACATAATATAAATAAAGTGTAAGTAAAATTATTGTAGAGCAGAAATACTTTTGAAATAAACAGGCTTAGAAATGTATGTAACTGTACCCATGCACATAACAAAAGTATGTAAATATAGCAGGGCATTTGTTTTTCTAAGTGGCTTGTTTGTCTTACGTTATAATTATGAAATTCACTAGTTTCGTGGTCCGCTTGACCAATTAATTAAGGTTTTTAGTTGAGATAAAAAAATTGAAAAATTGCGAAAAGGAGGAAAATTCAAAAGGTGGGGTTGAGATAGGAAGTTAGTGTCCGAGTGGATCGAAGTCACGCTAGCTCAAGTGGTTAGAGTAGCGGCGTATCTAGCCGCAGGTCGTGGGTTCGAATCCCACTCGTGGCACTGACTTTTTATCTCAACTAAAAACTAAAATTAACTGAAAGACATTAAATGGCCAAGCGGACCACGAAACTAGTGAATGTAATAAGTTAAATGAAGTGTATCTTCTCTGTTGCCATTTCCTTTGTCGCCGAGAATAAATAAATTACACTACATTTGAAAAATGGTGAAAAGGACGGAAAATTCAAAAGGTGTGGTTGAGATGGGAAGTTAGTGTCCGAGTGGATCGAAGTCACGATAGCTCAAGTGGTAGAGCAACGGCGTATCTAGCCGAAGGTCGTGGGTTCGAATCCCGCTCGTGACACTGACTTTTTTATCTCAACTAAAGCCTTAATTCGTTGGAAGTTATAATTATGTTAAGTGTGGTTTAATATCTCATCACCGACGTTCTATGTTACTTGAGTTTCTTGTTTTTGTATACCAGAAGAAATTTGAGTGAAAAGAGCGGTAAATCCTCTCTATTGGCAATATGATATCGATCTCGTGGTGCATGCAGAGACGTGGAAGATTTTCCATCTGAGATTAATAACGGCGTGATAAAGATCGCTGAAGATGGAAGAATGAAACGTGAGCGCGGTTATCAAACGAGTGGGCTCCGTTTGATAATCCGGGAGCGAGCTGAGTGTGATCTGGCACTGATGCCTGGGATTTCGCAAGGCATGGACATTGAAGGAATACCGGGGAAAAAGCGATTTATCACAAACGGCACTTTTAAAACAGCCGAACGGATGAAGAAAAAATCGACGATTCCGCGGGAATCAATTTAAAGGGAAAGGATTCGAAATACGGCGTGCTACGGCCTCTTATTAAGTACAACTGGATTGCCTGGGTAACAAGTTGAAAGACTCCCAATTATTCTTTTAGGTAAAAACAATAAAAAAAACAGCGTTCTTTGTTAAATTCACAAAAGTGTTAAAAAACAGTTACAAGAGACGCAAACTAAAATATATTGCTTTCTCTAAACCTTCTAATAGAGAAATATTATTACTTGAAGATCATCCAATCTTGTAAGTTTCTTACTTAAAATATGCCTTATATCAGCAACTATATAAAAGTTAATATTCAAAAAATACTATATATCGGGGCTTCCCAAGCTGTGGTCCGCTTCGATATTCGAGAAAAAGTAATAATTACAAAAATAAACGTCGAATGAATAAGTAAAATTAAAAAAACCCTAATAACAATGAGTACTGAAAACGAAAGTTTTTATTTTGCAGTAGCAGTGTTCTCACAGACCTGCTTTAGCTATGAGACAAAGGTCAGCATCTTTTAATAATGTTTTTGATGAGTCTGTTCAAATTTTTAATATATTAAATCCCCATTTCCAGCTTCACCATACAGGCCACCATAGGCACAAGTCAGTGCGAAAGCACTTTTACGATTGCAGGAATTACGTTCTGCAGTCTTGTCTCTGTTGATATACCACAATTTCTAATTGGCCAACGTTTTCAATTATTAGCTATTACATCAGTTAATATGGCTAGCTGAGAACTAGAAGAGTGACATTAATGGAAGCATGATGAGCCGGAGATGAATGTTTACCGGCTTTTAGTATAACCAACTTTGGCAAATTCCAGATTGTCTCATACACAAGCATTTGGTTAACAAGTTTGGTAAAGTAAATTGTGCATTTTTTTAAATGTATTTGTAATCAAACCAGTTAATTTATTTTTTTCTAGGTCACATAATATTTCCACAGGAGGGATTTTGCCTTCGAACAGCGGCCGTTTGAAGAGTCGTTGATGTATTGTCAGTTTTGAACAAAGGCGGAACAACGGTGTATTGAATTAATTGTTGAAAAGCAATCAATGGGAGGATAGAGTTCTTATTTATTTGCCAGTCACTTTACGATCCTCGTTCACAAAGGGATGAAAGGGGTTTCGAAGGTGGAATTTCGGTGGAGTGTCCATTAAACGTTTTAACAGAGGTTTCATTTATTCATAAATGATCCCAAGCCGAGGGAACTTTAAGACATTCTAAAAAGGTAGAATCTTGAATAATCCTTCTCTATAATGCCATTTGGAGATTTTGTGTAAGGGGTTATGCATTATATAAAGCAAATTTATTTTGTGTTGTAGAAATAAGGACTTGTTTTGAGATATCGAGCTAAAAACTTAACTTTTTTTATCATTTAAATCAATTTTCCCTGATAAAATTTCTGTTTTACCGAGAAACTGGAAATTCATCTATAAACTAAACTGTAGTTAAGATTTATCATAGTTAATGAGCTTATTAGTTACATTTTATTATTATTATTATTTTATTTGTACCCTACAGATATTATATATTAATACCAGCACTGCACCCGCAGTACACATGCCATGAGAAACCAGCTAATGCTGGCACTCTGTGTGAGGGATAGGGACAAGAAGGTCCCGAGGCCATCGTCGATTAAAGGGAACATGGCGTGTTCTCGGGATGGGATTTTGTAGAAAGGGCTTAAGAAGTAGGGTTAGGATGGATGGAAAAGAGGTTGATGTGAAGCATTTAGAATCGGGTACAGATCTATCCTTTGACAAAAGGAATGATGAGGTCGTTGTGGATTGTGAGGTGAGTGACGCAGTAAGGAGATTTTACAATTTATCTGAGGACGTTTGATTGGAAGGATTGGATGCTCTGGATGTTGGAAGGCTAGGCAGAACCCGATAGTTTCACTTAGTATGCTCAAAGTGGTTATAAGATTAGGCTATTTTTGATGGGGCAGGTTAAATTTCAGTCCTAGATGTCTTCATAGTTGTTCAAGTTTTCTGTTAAATTTTTGTCTTTTACATATTCTAGTACATCGTAGTGTAGACGTAGTTAGTGTGCAGTGACGTTTTTTTAACCCCACGGGGAATTCATTAAAGGATTCGTGGTCAGAAGGATGCCTTGATCTCTCCCAGGCGACTCAGGCCTGGCATTTTACGTACAGCAGGGTTCGCAATGTGTGATGGGTGAGGTTTGGGAGTTTTAGGAGCCCTGACGAGTTGTGCCAACCTGACTGCTGGGTAGCAGTAGCCAGGATATTCACAGAATCGCCGCTCATCTGGGGTTTAAGGATATGCTGAGGTCCGTGCCAATTTATAGGACAAGTCACTAGAGATTCGGGATTTGGCTTAGGAATTGGAATGACGGATATGGTTACAAGAATACTACGGTCTGAGTAGAGATCGTGGAGAGGTCCGATGTTTCTTGAGATGAAGAACCGATGAGAACAGGGAGGCTGTTCACATCAAATGACCAATTCGTAGGAATAGAATACAGATGGAAATTTCTTTACCTCTGCTATCCAGTGCGCTGTCAGGATGGCACAACGCGCCAGGCCTCTTAAAACCCCCAACTATCCAAATCCTTCCATCAATCCTTTAATAAATTATCCCGTTTGACTGAAAAAGAATTAATAATCCACCGCAACAATGGTTTTGACTCCTAACTATCCAAACTAATAAAACTAACATTTCAAACTTTCTCTATCTATAGTAATAAGAAATTTATGTAATAATACGTAATATTTGATGAAATAACTGCATTTTCTAGTCGCATTAAGAGTGAAATAATAAAATGTTTGAAATAATGATTGAAATATTTAACGTGAAACCTGGCAGACGGATTAATTTCTATTGTCTTTTGCAAATTTAACTGTAAAAACGAAAATGTATAAAATTCTATACATTTACTTCTTCTTCTTCTTGTTTAAAGTAAAACGGTTTGGACTATCTAAACTTAGTTCATTGAACGGTGAGTTTTCTTATATAAGTTAAATACAATCTTTTAAATAAAGTCTTGGACGCACTTTTCGTTCTTCCAGTTAACAATTCTGTGAGACGTTAAAACTTCTTCGCCTGCTCCTTCTCACATTCTTTATCCACTCCAATCATTATTCATATCAACCCGGACAATGCCGTTTTTATTAATCATCCTCCATTTTTCATTTTCCAGATTGTTTAAGTTAAGACCTCCCAGCTTCCGGTAATAAAGTTACTCTCCAGGGAGTAATTGAAAATTTAATAATGTACCCTTAACTCCTTTTAATCGTATTTCCTTCTTCCCTTCATCTTCCTTCACTTGCAATTTGATAGAGTTTTCCCACTAAAGTAAAGCAAGCCGTCCGGAGTAAATCCCTCCAGAATGGGATGGCCCTTTCAACGGATATCGGCTTGCGTTTATTGGAAAATGAGTTAAAAAACCCATTTCTCATTAACCCGACTTCATGAAAGACATTAAAAGACATTAAAAAACCCTCATTTTATGGGAACTTTTGAAGTGGTGCATTAAATTGGGCTTTGTTAAAGCCGTTAAGCGATATGACGATTGCGACTAATTTTTTTTTAAATTTTGTTATACACTTAAACAGTTGCCTATTTTGACACATTAATATTACAATAAATAACTACGATTATCTCTGATATTACTAGTGGTCAGCCTTAAATTTCATAAATTTGTACTTAAAAACGATCGAGGATGAGCCCAATTAGAATGAAAACAATCGGTACCTTCGTCAAACTTTTTTATTACTGTTATAAAACTATAGTAGTAACTATAGTAACGCTACATTGCCCGATTTTTGTTACTGTTTTTTTTTCTTGTACTCTCGTAAATTTTAATGAAAAGTGCACATGTAATGGAGAACATCTGTTTGTTTGGGAGACAAGTCGGTTCATTCCGAAAACAAATTAAAAAATAGTATAATCTCGCAAAAAAACCCAGAAAATCCCGATTTGACACCAATAAATTTTACAGTCTACTGTCCAATTTTTTGCATCTCATAACGACCTCTATGTATAGGCCGGAAGTTTGGCAATTGATAAATAATTCACAGCTGATAGACCACAACCGAGATACACCACCCGTCTTATATTAAATTCAATATAGAGCCAATAACATCGAGTCCTTTTTATTTTTATTTTACGTAAGTATACATGAGAAGGATAAGGGCAAATTCTTCTATTGTTTTATTTTATATTTCTGGTTTTAATTTATTCACCGAAACCAGGTTGTGCCGTTTTGGCTTAGGATGGTACCTAACCGTACATCCTTAACCATTAATGTTTCCAAAGCCTCCATGTTCTGTAATCTTTCCTGTGGAGATCGGTCGAATCGTTTCAAAATCGAAACGAGAAAGCCAGTTTTGGATCAAATGTAACAACATCGAATATAGATAAAATAATGAGGTGTTATGAATTTTTATGTAGTTAAAGAAACTAACATAAAATGAAGTTTTATGTAGTTTATGTTTTTATGTAGTTTCCTCCTGCTAATAAAAATGTTGTACCTTAATTCTGAAATTACACCGTTGTATTTTCCGTGAACGTTGATCAGGCCTACATTCTGGTAGAGTATGCCGACGGCCAGCATCCCGACGAGGGGCGGCATGGTCGCCATGTGGAAGATCCATCCGCCGAAGTGGGCCGCGATGCAGAGCACCGCTATGTCGAAAAGCTGGCCTCCAGGCGCTGCATCAGAGCCGATGATGGCGTAGATGACTCCCCAGGCTAGAATACCGAGTAAAAACAGCGAGAAGACGCGGGCCATGTGTCTGTACGTCGGGCAAAACGGGTAAGGGCAGAACGTTTGCCAGTGAGGCGGCTCCCAACCGGGGCCGGTCTCCTTCTGCCGGCATTTCGTGCACAAAAGGAACCACCAAGATCTGAAACATATAAACCACATTCGGCATTAAAGTTTGTGGTGGTAGAAAAGGACGGTTGTAGGAGTTCTACACTGCAAATGGCATGGAACCGAAACTCGTTTGAGTGAAACGTTAACCCTAGAGAGGTATGTACCCAGTATAACATAGTTTGTGATTCAATGTTAATGAACAATTGACAATACATTTGACAGAATAATAACAAAATAGATTACAATTAGTTGTGTATACTTAATAACTTATTCTGAACTTTTCCCTTCACTCGCTCTTTCCATCTAACTTGGCATCTGTGGTATATTGGCTCCATTGACGAAAATAGAATATGGTCAAATTTTTATATATTTAGCACATTTTTATGTTCCAAATTCTATGCTGGTAACAACAATAAATGTGTATTTATATTGTAACACTCCTTTGGAAGGATTTTGAATAATGATATCATATATCATTTTTGGGAAAATTATTTATATTTATCAAGTAAAGTATTGGAACTTGTTTGTTGGGGGTTTTATTGTCAGACTCTAATATGTTTACATACATATTTATATAATGCTTTAGTAGCAACATCGTTTTGTTAGTTTACTGATAAGTCGTACGTACCAGGCCTTTGTGAAGAAAAATTATTTTTCTCGTGTTATTTTTCTTTTAGATCTGTTAATTGAAGAATTTGTTCCATTGCTGGATGCTTTGATTTGGGGAAAATAGGTTGTGTAGAATTTTTTTTTTACTTTGGGTGATATTTTTTCTAGTAATAATGTGTGGTGATTAGTGACCGTCAGTCGATGATTATTCGGAAATCGGGAGATGCGGTCTGGTGTGATGTAGGTTTCAGAAAAAAACATTTTCTTTATCGTGCCAACGTTTCGATCTTTATTGAGATCATCTTCAGGGCCTGGTATTTACAAACATTGTTTAAATTTAACAAATATATGTAGGATGTGGAAAAAAGTGAATTTATACAATGCAAAAAATATTTTTTATATTCAATCAAAGTATTTCTACTCACTCAAAGTGTTTGTTTTCTGCGTGATTGTGCCATTCTTGCGTGTCGTGTTGAGAGTGTCAGTGAGATATTGCTGTTTTATATTTATATTATGGCACGATAAAGAAAATGTTTTTTTGAAACCTACATCACACCAGACCGCATCTCAGGATTTCCAAAAATCTAGTAATAATTTTTAGAAAAAATTTTGATTTGACCTCGTTTCCTGCTTTTTGTATCATGATGATTTCTGCAAATTTCCAGATACTGGATACACACTTACGTTTGTAACATACTTAGTAAATAGCAATTTTAATTAACGCATTTTTCGATAATTTTTTAATATTTCTCCACTGATATAAGGTCATATCAGCCTAAAAGCCTTTTTAGCAGGTAAGTTTCAATTTCTTGCTCTATTTCTTTGCGTGTAACGAGCTATATATTTTTGTATTTTCTTTTTATGATGTAGACCGTACTTCTACTACGTGCTGCCACTAAAGTTGGTTTGAAAATTTCGACAGTGACTGGCGAAAACTTCGGCTTTTTCTCTGCTATTTTACGTCTATGTACGGTTCTAATTTTTTAATGGAGGAATTGAAGGACCTTTGCTTGGAGGTATGGTCGAGTCTTCCCGGGGTTTTTTAACCTCTCGTTTAATTTGCTGTGCCATATTGTTATGGACATTTTTGTCTGCAGGTTTTCTTGATCGCTGCTATCTTTTCTTAGCCTTCTTTTTTGTTATACCAGTTGTTCAATTTCCTTGATGTGATTTACACTATTGTTTTATGCATAGTCGCAAATATTTATCTTGAAGCACAATTTACCATCCGGCAATAAAACAAATTGCGATTTTATTAATCTTTTACACAAATTGACTATATTTGTAATACTTTTTAGTTATGATAGGAACAATGGATTATGACATCATCACGGATTTGAGTAAGTAAGCCAAAGTACAAAGACAGATTCATTAAACCAATTATCAAAAATGTTATAAAATTTTTATGTTATAAATTTTAAATGCACTAATTTCGTGGTCCGCATGACCAATTAATATATTACAATTAATTAAGGTTTTTAGTTCAGATAAAAAATCCAATGGCACGAGTGGGATTCGAACCCACGATCTTCGGCTAGATACGCCGCTGCTCTCCCACATGAGATATCGTGACCTCGATCCACTCGAACATCAACTTCCTATCTCAACCCCACCTTTTGAGTTTTCCCTCCTTTTTGCCATTTTTCAAATGTCGTGTAATCGGATTGGATTCTCGACGACAAATGAAATGGCCACGGAGAGCTTTAGTGAAGTATACTTCATTTTAAATCTTTAAATTCACTAATTTCGTGGTCCGCTTGACCAATTAATATATTACAATTAATTAAGGTTTTTAGTTGAGATAAAAAAGTCAATGGCACGAGCGGGATTCGAACCCACGATCTTCGGCTAGATACGCCGCTCTACCACTTGAGTTATCGTGACCTCAATCCACTCGGACACTAACTTCTCATCTCAACCCCACCTTTTTGAATTTTCCCTCCTTTTTGCCATTTTTCGAATCCCGCTCGTACCACTGGCTTTTTTATCTCAACTAAAAACCTTAATTAATTGTTATAAATTTTATTCATTCGCTTGACATCACAGTTGGAAATTAGTTTCAGCATGATCAGCCGTTAGGTAGTAGCGAAAACAAGCGGACGAAAGTTGTGTTTGAAGCAAAAGTCTATCAACCGTTCAATACTTGCGATCAAACCATCATTTCAAAGAGTTTTCAATAAAAAAAAGTAATATAATTGAAAAATTGAACGAAAAGCAAACAAACAATCATTTCTTAAAGCTTTAAACAATAAACGTAAGGCCTATTATTTGGTATTCTTTTTTCATATAAAGCTCGAGCTAACAGAAATAAAGTATAAATTCTTCTGAATAGAATTGTAATATACGGGCCGTAAAAGTGGCTTTCAGATGTAGACGTTTTTCAATTTCGTCTGAATATAAAAGCTTTTGGCGTTCTCGGATGCCTCCTTCGTGATTTTCACCATGGAGTGTTTTTTCTTTATCGTCACTTGCAATGTTTATTTCAAAGTATTGAAAAAGTATAAATGGAGCCTTTAATCGTACGCTTGGTCCTGGAATAGGAGTCCTCGGGGAGACGAACACGGTCGAATAAACAGCGAGTCCCAGGACAGCTAAAAGTATCGACCTTTTAGAATTCGTCGTTTAAATGTAGAAACGTAATTTCTTTGTTTTATCTAAATGAAGTTTGGCCGGTGGAATATAATAATTAAATTTATAGTAAAATTCATTGGATACGTATATTTTTGATGGTTTCAACGTTGTACATTTTTCAGCATCAGAAAATCCTGATCCAACAACAATTTAAATCAAAATGATATTGCTTGTTTAGTATTTTTGAAGCACACTTTGATATTAAAATGAATCATCGCCAATGACACAGATTTTTACACAAAACTCAAATTTTTTATCAAATTATCGACATCCTGTATAAATTCTTAATTGCACTTTAACAGGAAATAGACACAGAGGGTATCCTGTTTGACTCGCCAGTTTGAATTTTTCTGGATTTTCCTTGAAATAGACAATCACTGCTATTATTAAACTTAATTATGACAGGAAATCTCTTTTAATAATAAAATGTGTGCGTTAATGTTGTGCACGTCGATTTTTATGAGTAAAAACACAAACATCTTTTTCGTCCTAGGTGTCATCAGATATGCTTAATTATGTAAACATTTGATTGTTTTTATGATAATACAAGTAAAGTTAATTTGTGTACAACAACATTAGTTTCATCGTCTAACTACCCTTTTGGCTTTCGCGGACAGTCAGAACAGTTTCTTTTTACATTATTTTCAATTAAAATTTCATAGGCTGTGCTGGGATTCGTACCCAGAACCGTTGGCGTGGCAAATACGAGTCGGACTCCACAATACTCGGCAACAGCGCTCCAGATCCGCAGAATATGATAATATGAAAATATACAATTTCGATATCCAAAAAAGATGAAAAATATCTGTATGCTTTGTAATCGGCTTGAATTGTAAGTGGTGACGATTTATAGTTGACTAATTAGAGTTTGTTGATTGTTTACATTAATTCCATTAGGGTTCGTAGCCTGATTGCCCAATTATCTTTTTTTCAATTAATTAATTGTTTATTATTATTATTATTATTATTATATATGTTTATATGTTATATTATTATATGTTTATTAAGGTATCGGTTGAGATTTGATTACATTAATATCAAATAATTATTTTTCACCTCTTCGGTTAAGCATTTACGTTAATTAATTAATCTTTATATAAGGGATTGGCTGAGATAAAAAGTCAGTGTCACAAGCGGGATTCGAACCCACGACCTTCGGCTAAATACGCCGCTGCTCTACCACTTGAGCTGTCGTACTTCGATCCACTCGGACACTAACTTCCCATTTCAACCTATCTTTCGAATTTTCCCTCCTTTTTGCCATTTTTCAAATGTCAAACAGGATTCGATACTCGGCGACATATGAAGTGGCCACGGAAAGCTGTCGTGAAGACACTTCATTTTACTTATTAAATTCAATAGAGTTCGTGGTCCGATTGAACGAATAACGTTTTTCAATTAATTAATCTTCATATAAGGTCGAAGTCTCGATAGCGTCGTGGGTTCGAATCCCGTTCGTGACACTGACTTTTTTATTTCAACCAATACCTTATATTAATTTATTGAAAAACGTTATTCGTTCAATCGGACCACGAACTCTAATGAATTTACATAAATGATCTCCCCGACTCCATTCAGAAATGAGATTACCACCTCTACGTCTACTACTACCTACTTTTTAAGTCCTTCCATCCCTCCGATCTATATCGGCTATCCAAAGATCCAGTAAGATTTGAATTCCATGAACGAATGGGCACATAAAAACCAGCTAGTATTAAATCCTAGGAAGTCCAGAATCATTGTTAAAGGATCCAGTCATCTAGAACCTCGGTGTTATCTACGACCAAAACCTTTCCTGGAAACAACAAATTTACCCACGCAGTATTGTATCCCTCATTCAATTCCGCTGGTCCTGACTCCTACTCTTCGCCACTCGTAAACTCCTTGTCTCCTACCTCATCTTTCCCTTCTTCGACTACAGCTGTATCGTTTATGGTGGACTTTCGTAGCAGCAAGGAAATCGTCTGAAAAAACTGATGAATTGTTTTATTTATTTTCGGCACCCCGCTCACCCGGACTGTCCAGAGTGTCACACTTGTTTGTATTCAGATCTATCTTGGCTTTATCACTCCTTCTGTTGAAAGTATTTCCTATGCTCCTTCCTTTACTTATCCAGAAACTCTCGTCGACCTCACTACATATTCCAGCTATTTCCATTCAGATCTTCTATCCATTCTCTTTTCGTTTCCAAATGGCAAATATAGTATCTTCCTCGCCATAAAACCACCGCATTTGAGCAGTACTTCTTAACTCGAGCCACAAATCTCTGGAATTATCTTCCTTTGCCAATTCGCAAACCCACCTCCCTTTCCTCTTTTAAATCCCTCCTGTACAACTCATGTCCCTCCAAACAGAGACAACACTGTCCAAAAATATTAGTGGGTGCTTTTGTTACATAACTGAACTTGTTTCTTTCCTTTACTCATTTTTTAAGTTCTTATTTTGTTCCCACAAGACAGGGAATTCTTTATTATGACTATTTTTTTTTTATCAACGTTCTTATTATTGCTACTGTTGCTTTTATTTTTTATATTTTGTGTTATGTGACTATATGTTAACGTCATACCATCATTAATTCAAGTGTCAGATTTGTAAAAATTACTGCTGCTTTATTGTTATCCTAGTCCCAGAATGGAGTATTCTCTCTCTCTCTCACTCTCTCTCTCTCTCACTCACCCTCCCTCTCTCAATATTATGACATTTATGTACATTTTTAAAATTAATTTTAAAAATAAATATCTAAATTAAATAAATTGTAATCACTTACTCTTCGGCAGGGACACCTTGGTCATACGCCATCGATTGTCTTCTGTTCTCATCGCCGCTGTAGATCGAAAACGTCCTGCCGTCAGCTTCAACAAACGAAAAAATAAAAAAACAAAACAAGAAATGGCATAAAACCACCGCATTTGAGCAGCAGCAGGAATTTGTCTAAAGGTGCACACACGATCAATACAAAATCGGATATTCACTGAAAGCATTGACATTCCTACTTGGCTGTTGGCTGGTTGGGCCAAAAAGAAGTCAAACAACCGAACAACGTGCGAATTAAAACCGGAAAAAGGAAAAAATAAATTTCGGAATAGGTTTAATGAAGGAGAAGGTTGAATGGGATTCCTCCGGCGTTATGCCTTATTTCCAACGACCATCAGATTCCAAACAGGTCTTCCTTTAAAGTATTATCATGGGCATTTCATCGGCTACTATTTTTTCCTTGATACAAGAAAGAATTTGTCTAAGAACTGTTAAATTGTGAGTTTTACATCCTTGCCCAAAAATGTCAAATTGAGCAGTAATTGATAACCTTCATTTTCTTTTGAATTATGAAATTATGCAAGATTTTAAGTATGAAGTATTAAAGCGTTAAGAATAAAACATTCCAGACACAGAAATGGGTAGGAAAAAACAAAAGGCGGAAAACAAACTTAGACGGGGAGATATTAAAGTAGACAAAACTTGTTCAAAACTACCTGAAAGCATTAAGTCAGAAGTCAATGTTGTCAGGGCCGGGAAGTGAAAAACCTGAATAGAAAATATAAACTTTTCACTTTCGTGAGAAACGCATACTTCGTCTGACGCCTGTGGCACGAAACATGTCTATTTTTTCTCGAATGTCTAACTGTCATAGAGTCGCGTGAATGTTAAACTAATGAATGTGAAAAATCGGCCATTTTCAGGAGAGAAAATTTGTACTTGTGTATTGGAACATTTTTTGGTTAACTGAATGGGTAACAGTTGAAGCTGTTTGAGGTCGTATAGTGATTTTTGTTTTGTGATAATTGGGTAATAAAAAAACTCAAGGATAATCTCGCACACCTTTAAGTGTTTTAACTACAGCTTAAATTTGAAGTTTAAAATATTTTTATTATTATTTTACTTTTAGAAAAAGCCCTATTGAAAATAATTTTTAAAAATAAGTTTATTTTTTATAAATAAATCAACGTTTTCAAAATATAATCTCCTCCCATCAATTTAGTTTGCGTAACTGCCACTCAACTGTCCAACAGTGCCATCGCGTGGAAGATATTAATTCCTCATCCCTTGAGATAGGGCAGTACTGTTCTGGGGCCTTTTTTGTTTTAAATCAAGCTTTTAATGGAGTGTAGCAATCTCATACTTCACAATTACTTTACTGACCGGTTTATCCGAGACATCGAAGCCAACTCCCTCTTTGCATTTTTCCCTATCCACGCAGGTGTTACTTAGGTTCTGGCCCTCACTCTAGCTTTACACAGATGACATTCCATCACATCCTCAAACTACCACACTCATATCTGCAGACTATACAGCAATCGTTTAGTAACTCCGATCGTATCATTTCCACTCAAACCCTCCAATACCTTACACTACTAGAGTTTTGGGGTGTAGGTAAGGCTAAAATTAACACAGACAAATCCACTCACATTACCTTAACACTTCTTAAGAGGATCTCCCTGTCAGTCTACTTAAATAATATTCCCCTAAGTGCGGTATCTCGGGCAAACTCTTGACGTGGATTTCGCAAGCATGACTGTACAACGACAAGAACTTATGACACGAAACTCTTCCGCTTCTTGACAAGTGAACGGGCTTACGTTTCAAAAATAAAAGGCTGCTTTACAACACCATAGGTAAGACGATATGGACATACGGACTGGATGTGGGGTTCAGCCAAACATTCCAACATCCGCTGCATTCAGGCCAATTCCTAATCGTACTAAACATCCTTGATGCTCCATTTTATGCATCAAACAAAACTACATCAGCACTTCCAAAAACTCGTACCCACAAATTCTTACAGAACTCCTCACTTACTGAAAAGACGATGGTCGTGAGATCTATGCAATGATCAAAAGTGATAATAAATAACACAGGTATTAATTAAATAGTCAACATTTTAGCATCATTGTAGAACTACCAGTGGGTGTTGAGGTACGAGTGGTTTGAGGTCTATACGTGTACTCCTCTGCAAAGCATTAATGATTTATCCTATTTCCAATGTCTTGCGAAATAACAATTTTTATGGGCTTCACCTGACCGGGTGGTTGTTCAAGCTTAGAGGTAAATTATTCACTCGCTCAAATTAGGCTACTGGGATAAGATTCGAAGAGGGCATATAGATATTTTCTAGTAATTCCCGTTCAATGTTATCTCGTAATTATTAGGAAATCGTCAGATGCGGCCCTGAAGATGATCTGAATAAAGATCGAAACGTTGGCACGATAAAGAAAATGTTTTTTTTAAACCTACGTCACACCAGACCGCATCTCACGATGTCCGAATAATCATCGCCTAACGGTCACTAATCACCACACGTTATCTCTTCATTTTAAAAACGAATAGCTACAGAAATTGTATGGCTAGAATTCTAACTGATTGATTCAGTATGCCGTACAGACTTGGAAATATATATATGAACCGATTGTTTTTTAATTGAAAGGTTGCTTCTGAAAAACCTTGTACTTTTTTTTTATCAAAAACAGATACAACCAATTGTTCATGAATGGATATATTTTGAAGCAAAGTTGCTTCGTTTTTAGCATACAAAAATTTTTATAATAATTCATGGGAGCATGAGAAGAGGATGTTTCGAAATTTATACTTTAAAAAAATTGGTTTTTTCTACTCAACATAAAAAAGAAACCTACTAGAGTTTTGAATTATATTTCTTCCACGTTTACAATTATACACCCATACATCTAAAAACAATAGTTTTTATTGTGAATACGCTTTAAAATTATTTATTTGATTAAGGAATACTCATGTTTGTATAAGATCAAATCTGTATATGTATGGTCGTATTCCACATATACAGAATGTATAATGAATATTATCACTTCTATTAATCCACCAATTCTAGATTTCTACTCTCACGATCACGCCAACAAATACATTTACTCTCAACACATGCTAGGTACTCAAGTCAAAAAGTACTATGTACAATGTGTAGAGATTAGTGACCGTTAATCGATAGTTATTCAGATATCGTGAGATGCTTTCACACCCGACCGCATCTCACGATATCTGAATAACTATGTACAATAAAACAACATGGATCCTCCAAAAATCCGAACAGCGGAGGCCAATCATTTATTTAGTCTTTACTTTTAATACATTTATAATTGTTACTTATGTTTAGTTCTGAAATGTTACCGATCATTTTCTCATACTGCCCTAGCTTGATTGATCTGACGCGTTTCAGCATTTCGCCATCTTCATTATGCCATTTACATTCAGGTAATACGGTCAGAAATGACGGTTTTCTGTGCCTATGGTTGATTAGGTTTGGGTTTAGTATTGTTACTTTTTATTTAATTAAACTGCTATCAATTAATATTTATGATTTTGTATTGTTTTAATGTGTCCTTATTTCCATGTTTTCGAGGATGTGCATTTTTGTCGTTATTGTACTACGTCGTTTTAGTAGTTTCATTCTTCTCTGTATTGTTCTGATTTCGTGGTTTTTCTTTGAAGAGAGTTACCTGACTTGATTTTCCGTTATTATCTTTGTATGATGTTGTTTGTATCCGTGTTTCATTTGTTGTCCTGTCTGCCCGATGTATTTTTCTATGCATTTGCATGTTTGGCGTACATCTGCGTATTGTTGTCTAAGGGATTGGTTTTTATGTGATTCATCTAAACAGTTTGCAAATGTCCTGCCGGTTGTGAATGCTGTTTTAATTATTTATTTGGTAAATAGATTTGTTAGTTAGTAAGTTTCTTTCCTCATGTATGTGAATGTGTTATATTTCTTATCTGCTTTTGATGTGTCGTTTTGCTTATTATTTTGCGTGAACGTTATTGCGTGGAATGATTTTCATTGGTTTAGTTTTATTTTTATTTTTCTATGATCTAAAATTCAGTGACTCAATACAACATCCAATTAACCAACACAGTACAAAACCTCACCTAAATAATTATAGACGCATAAAAAAGGCCTTTTACCCAACCGCAGGACCGCAAGAAGTACACACAAGTCACAAACGCAATAGAAAAAACAATCACACAATTACGTACACACAAAATGAGGAAACAACTACAAAAAACTCGTCAAAAACTGAAACACAAACAAAGGAGTTTATAACTTAACTTGTCTTTATTTTACCAATGTTCTTTATAGGCAGATCTTTCATCCATTTTCATATATGCTTGAAAAATAACCACGCATTTTTATTCAATAAAATAGAAATTTTAAAAGATTTGTTAGTTACAAGATTTTAAAGATTTGTTAGTTACAAATCCGGTTACCGCGGTAGCCGAGTGGTTAAGGCGTCAGACTCTCGGCTAGTAGGTCGTGGGTTCGATCCCCACCGTCGCCTCTGGACTTTTTTTCTGACGCCTAAGGGGACAGGTGGCCGCAATTGAACGAAATTGACACGGCACTCATCAATGGAAGGGGCGGGATCAGATCTCAGTGATCCTGAATTTGGTCCCAACTAACTTCAAACGTGAGTTTTTTTTATGGAAGGCCCCAAAAATGGAGCCAGGGATATGTACAATAACCTGCAGTGCTCAGGGGGAACTCTACCAGTTCTTGGTATCCTTTTAAGGAAAAAAAGACACACATCAAATACAAGCAGCAAATATCAGTCAAGCAAAACTACAACACACAAAAAAAAAAAACGATAGGATTGGGAAGACCTACTTAAGAAAAAAATAAAAACTCTAACTCGCAAATTTACAGGCCATGGTCCAATTGAATATCATCTTAAAAAAATAGAACTATCCATAGATGATCAATGTCTAGATGATGATTATGTCTAGAAGAGAACGAGAAAACTGAACACATCCTACATATCAACTACCCGCAATAGCGAGTAAAAAATATCGCACCTGGGAAAACTGTTCCTGACCTATGCACCTCTTGATACCTTGAAAATAATTATTTACTTTACAAAATAAACGAGCATCTTCAAGGAAATCCATTAGCAGATATCGGCACAATTACAAAATTGTAGGTTCTAAAATAACAAATCCATACTCCATTTGTAAAAGAAAAAATCGTCATACCAAACTCAAGTTAAAAATCATATAGTTAGGTTATGGGGAAAACGCTAGAAGTTTTACATATTTTATTGATTACTGCGTGTTTAATTATTAATTAAAATTTTAACTTAAAAATGGGGAAAAACTTTTAAAATAAAATTTTTCGTTAAAAGTACAAACTCAGTTGTCTGCGAGTTATCAACTTCGTTATTCTTTGATAGGAATATATTTTTGTAATTTTATAAAGTTCTTTCGTTTTCGTTTTGGCTTTCTCTGACTTAAAGTTTTAAATGTAAAACAAGATGAAAACATTAAGTATTCTTCCGAATTTAGACGACATCTCTGACCCAGGCGGGATTCCGGGCGGCGTTTTGCTAACTCGAGGAAATTTACGTCTGTTCAGAACCAGTTTGACAATCATTAGCTCATTTTACCCAACCGAAATACAGCTAACGACATCAAAACGGGGCTTGTTTCAGATTTAATTTCTCGTTATACAAATCACTCCCGGCAAACTTTTCGGAAATTATTATGCAGATTCTCTCTGGGTTTAACTCTCTGCTCGGAAAATCATTTCCGCAGAGATCATCGCGAAATTGAAATTGCCCTTTAAGGGAGACCAAAAAGTGTAAATTGGAAACAATTTTCAAGTGGTGACGACATAAAGTAGCTTCCGACATAAATTATGTAAATCAATTGTACCTCTTTTAAATTTGTTATTTTGAAAATTTATGAAATTTACATACAAGCGGTCATGACAAAAAAAAATATCCACCGAAAAAAAAAAAATCATTTCATTGTAGAAAACTCAAACATACTAGTAAAGGTTTATAGAAATACCATGTGATGAGAGGTGGCTGAAATTGTCATTGTTCACTAGTATGCTCTTTGGTTTGCTCTGGTTCGACGAGCTGCTGATTTTTCTCTGCCTTTCATCATTGCCGTCAATGGTCGGAGACGAGGCGATGCTCACCTTCCTCTTAGGTTCATCCTGTTCGAAACCGGGGTTCAGCTCCCCTTTCTTTTCGTGCAAATCTTCAGCGCAGTGCTCACCCGTCATCACCTGGAAAGAACAAAAAAGTCTTTATTTAATAAATCCATTAAATTTAGTGGTCTATTGACCAAATTACTTCTTTCAATTAATTAATCTTTTTATGTAAGGTTTTGATTGAAATGAAAAAGTTAGGGTCACGAGCGGGATTCGAACCCACGACCTTCGGCTAAATACGCCGCTGCTCAGCTATAGTGACTTCGATCCTCTCTTGAGTCTTTATTTAAATCAAAACGACATTTTATGGGGTTATTGTTGTCCGGAGGTATCGTCCTCGTGGATGCGAAACGGTTCTGTTTTCTGTATAATATTTTATTAATAATAATAATCTATATATGTAGGGAATTAAAGGTCTCCCACAAATAAAAAGATAAAGATTTAAAGTTTATTGGTAAAGAACACATAAACAAAAGTAAAAGGATAACTAGTTAACATTAAAATACATTAGCGTAAAAAGAAACGTGTTCGTAGGACCGCGTGGTGGTAACAACTCAAACTGTCAGCTGGGGTCCAGATAGAGGGGAGAGACAGAGTTCCCGCCATGTAGGGCCTCCGTTGACGTAGTGGCGGTGAACATCCTACATATATGTTTAGCAGTCATAATTTACCGTATTAATTACTTTAATTAATTAACCTTTTTTTATCTAAGGTCTTCGTATAGATGAAAAAGTTGGCATCACGAGCGGAATTCGAACCCACGGAGGGGTTGATCTAAGTGGATCGAAGTCATGGTTGGTCAAGTTGTTAGAGTAGCGGTGTGTTGAGCGGAAAGTCGTGGGTTCAACTCCCCCTCGTAACACTAACTTTTCATCTCAACCAAGACTTTAGATAAAAATATATAGCTGTTATTAATTAAATTAATAATGTGTAGTGATTAGTGACCGTTAATCGATTTCTAAATAAATATCGATTAACGGTCACTAATCACCACACATTTCAGAAAAACATTTTCTTTATCGTGCCAACGTTTCGATCTTTATTGAGATCATCTTCAGGGCCTACAAACATTTTTTACATATTACAATTACATTTCGGTGTAATTGTGCCATTCTTGCGTGTCGTGTCGAGAGTGCCAGTGAGATTTTGCTGTTTTATGTTTATATACGTTGGATTTTGAAGGGGTGGGGAAGGATGTTGGTATAGAAAGACATTTTTGTATAAGGCGTCGGCTTCTTTGAGGTGGAAAGAGCCGACGAAGGGAAAAAATGGGTTGGTAATGGTTCGGCCAGATTATCCTTTCAGGATTATATAGAAAGGGATAAATAGGAAAAGGAAAGCTAAATTGTTGGGAAATTAGACTATGTGAAAAATATTTGATGTGTGGAATGTAATGTGATGATATAGGTATGTTATCTGTATTGAATTTGATTAATGATATTGGCGTAGCTGCGACTGAGTGTACATGTATCTGTTCTGTAATTGATGCTGTGTTTATCTCTGTTGATATAAACCATTTGTTAGAAATTACGTTTGTGTTTGTTTTGTTCCGTGTGTAATACTTTTGGATTTTACAAAATACTTTGATCGAATATATAAAAAATATATTTTGCATTGTATAAATTCACTTTTCCACATCCAAAATGTAATTGTTATATGTAAACAATTTTTTAAATTCACTAATTTCGTGGTCCGCTTGACCAATTAATCCCGAATCCCGCTCGTGCCATTAACTTTTTTTCATCTCAACTAAAAACCTTAATTAATTGTAATATGTACACAATGTTTGTAAATCCCAGGCCCTGAAGATGATCTCAACAATGATCGAAACGATGGCACGATAAAGAAAATGTTTTTCTGAAACCGACATCACACCAGACCGCATCTCACGATTTCTAAATACATAAATTAATTATATTATTAAAACTTGTTTAATGTCCACTTTGAAGTTAGCGATGCATGAAATATTCTATATAAATGTTACATAAACTTCAGATATGAGCTTTTGAAACTAGTAAACACTTTTATTCTAACTGATTTTGTATTTTGTTGGTTTAAAGTTAGAACAAAACAATCTCATAGGGGGTTTAGTTCTCTTTACATTGGTGTAATAAAATTAGCAGTAGGATTAACATTTTACGAGATATGGGAGACTTTATGGAATAAAGTTGTGAAAGGTTGAAGTAAGCGAAAAGAAAGTAAGTTTCAAATAAAATTGAGAAGCAGGCTTGTGACAACAGGGGCTTTTTAGTCAAAATTGACATGTAGGATAACCCTCCGATTGACGTCATTTCACGTGACACCCTGTATATTTCTTTAAACAGTGTATGAAAAAATTTATATAAAGAATTATATAAAGAAATTATACCTGTTGCAAAATGGAGGCAAAAGCTATAAAATGAAGCAATGTCAGGCTTGGGTTCTTGAAATAGGTAGATATTTTGAACACTAATTTAATTTTTTTGAAGCTTATCGTTCTGTCAGTATATACAGAATAGAGAATTAACATTTCTTTAGAGGCGAAGAAAATGAGATTTCGGGTTCTATCGTGGGTCGGGTTCCCTGTCTCAGAGGTTGTTAGGTGCCGGTAGAGGCGGAAATTTCGTTTATCTTTTTACACGAGTTTTATCAAGCTCGGGACGATGTTGAACACAAACCGATATAAAATTTTATGTAATAAATAATATATTTTTATTTAATAAAAAATAAAGTGGTCAAAATTAAAAAAAAATATTAAGGAAAATCAATATTAAAAGTTCCAATGGCTAAACAAAATTTAATATTGTTCAAAATGAATTGGGCCAAATGCAATATCACTACCTTTAAATTGTTAATAATGAATAATGTTTCTTCGTAAACCTTAATGAAATGCCGTGATTAATATTTCCTCAAAGAAAACATGTTTGACCTAAGTGATAATAATTAATCGCCTTTTTCGTTTTTTTCCGGTGAAAATCAAACGATTGAAACATTTTGGTCGGAAAATTAAACGAAAAGCTGAGCTTAACATGGCTGGAACAAGTGCGTCAACAATGAGTCTATTGTCATATGAAAAAACCGGATATTCATTCATTCAGATCTAGTTGGATTTGTCTCGGCATTGGTCTGATGTGGCATGTCTTTGGAGACATTTCACGGCTCTCTGATAAATAAAAGGATTTAAAAAAAAATGCACAATCGGTGCAATGTTACTCATACCGTCGTTAAAAGGACATCCAAGGCTATGTTAGAGGCTCTTCTTATTTTACTCCTATAAAAGAATGGTCATTAAGGGAAATTGCTTAAAAACGGACTAATAATCGACTTATAAACCTTAAAACGTTAATATTGAACTGAGTACACCAAATTGAAAGAGGTTTTACTTGTATATTGAAAAAAAAAAATTAAATAAATCATACTTAAAAATCAGTTTAAGTGTAAATTAATGTTTTTTTAAACATTATCAAAGTAATTTAAATACATGATTTATATAAATACTAGTAGTCTATATTTTTTCTCTATTTTCGACTCTACTTGACCAAAATCCGACGACGAAAAAGCCCAATTCTTGGCACGACACAGTGATTTTCACTGCCTCACATCTTTATTTTGTCTTATCAAAGCCTTCAGCAAAGTATCTGCCTTTAGCTTCGCCTACACACCACCATAAAACCCGTATATATTATCCACAATCGCCGATTTGGTTGCCCAACCCAGTCGATCATTAACCAAGCCGACTGTATTGTCGACAGTATTAAACTTAAATATTACAGTCCGGGCAGTTTTTCAACATGTCTTCTGTTTTGTCTTTCAGTCTTTCAACGTCTTTTGTTGGGCTTGTTATGGATGCTTATTGATACGTACTACCTTATCCACAAATTAACATTCACAAACCGATACTTCGATGTGACACAAGGCACTTCTTCTTCTACTTATCTCATTTTAGCTGATGCCTCTCAAGGAAAGAAGCTTGCTTACATTACTTCTTATTTACAGCTGATATCTATTTTGTTTTCCCAACACCTAAACATTCACAAAGATACAGCGATTCTCTGAACAAACTTGACCTCTGTTCATGCGAAACACAACCCTAAATCAGATGTATACTAAATCACATATATCCTAAAACTCTGCCTTCGGCGAAAGAGCTTCCTTTCCATTTTTCCAACCTAGTCCAGTGAACACCTCTTGCTTTTACTTCATCTATTTTCTTTTTCACGTTTCCTTAGTTTTCCCGTTCTTCCTTATTTTTACACTTTGGAGCCTTAGATCTACGGCGTTGTATGCGTGAAAGTCTATTTTTGAAACGTTTGATACTGATCCGAAGCATTCATAGGGGTAGCAGAGGATTTTGACAGGGTTTAGCACCCGGGCTTGCTTTTTAAACTTAAACGGTTCTTACCCACTCCTTATTACCTAATCCTGAAAACCGACACTGCTTCAGAGTTAGGTGCGGCAACGAGATGTCGGAAGAACCGATATAATTCGGCGTCTCAAAAGAGAGCATTCTTGAGCCTATCCATCATATCCTATACACACTATACCACTTCACGAACTACGCGGACAATGCCTAACTTGACAGCGGACTGACGTGGAATTCCCACACAATGCTTAAGAGTCAAAGACTTAACAGAAGACTTGAACAACTACGAAGACTTCTAGGACCGAATCCGTCAACACTAAATTTACCTTATTCAAGACTTTACGGCGACCACTTTAGGCCTACGGAGTGGAACTACAAGTTTTTGCCAAGCCATCTATACCAAGCGCATCAAGTTCCTTCCAATCAAAAGTCCTCATACATACCGTCAAAACTCCTTACGACGTCACTAACCTCACTGTCCATAACGACTTCAATATTCCTTTATTCATCCTTTCCAGATTCCAAAAATTTCACACCAACCTCTCGATCCTTCCTAACCCTTCTCTTCCAGCCCTCTCCACATATTCCCACCCGGGAACCCGCCACGAGGCCTTAATCGGCGATGGCCTCGGAGCTTCCTTGCCTCTATCCATCATACCGAGTGCCAGCATTAGCTGGTTTCTCATGGCATGTGTCCTCCATGTGCAGGGCTGGTATTAGTATATAAAATCTG